ATAATGGTAGATGTCATTCAGGAGTCGTTTTTATCTATATCCCTTGTCTTAGGACTGTTTTGCTTGCGTCGAAGGCTGCATTGGCAGATGTGTAAGAACTATCCGGGGGTCTGAAAACGAGGCTTCTAGGAATAATCCCACATTTAAGATATCTCAGGTTGAATACACGATGATGTTCCCAATTCGCTTCGACACTAGAAAAACGCACGAATTAACTAGCCAGCTTTCTAAGACGTGGCCTGTTTAGTGTTTAATATCTCGGAATATGCTTGGAGTCGACTAGGATCTCATGAGTTTCGAAAGTTTTGAAGTAATAAAATCCTATAAAAACCGATTTGTAGCTCCCCTATTCACTAAAATGCCCAAAGATGACGCATTGTGTATAGCACAGCTTTGTCTTACTGAGGACAATAGCCTAGAGCAGCGAACGAAACTCAGGGTAGACCAGTGGTTGTCCTCCCGGTGATGGAGTCCATCATACCTGAGAGTTTAATGGGCTACGTTGAAAGGCCTAGCACCATAGCACAAGAACAACAAGGATTCCGTTAACATCGTTCATGCGCTGCTAATTGACTTAGTGCGCATGGCAGCAGATAAAAGATGGAAGTAAAGTATGCCTTAATATGTCATATTTCGCTTTCCCGTTGAGACTGTCCTCTCAAGAACAGGGACTTGCCTTTGGGTCACCAATATCCCCCGTGTTGGCAAATCTGTATATGGAAGACTTTGAGAGAAGAGAGCTGACAAACTCTATAATTCACCAAAGATTCAGTGGCGTTAAATGGATGATACATTTGTGATTATAAAGCGAGATATGAAGGAGGCGTTTCTAAATCATGTGAACTCCATTAATGGAAATATAAACTTTACTATGGAACTAAAATCTTGCAATGGCACGCCGCCATTCCTCGATCGCCTAGTTCACAGGAACAGTGGATGGTTAGAGATGACGATATATCGCAAGTCGACAGATACGGACGAAGTGCTTCATTACAGTTCAGGTCAACCAAAAGAAGTCTATGCAGCTATGATATCCTCTCTGTTTCACAGAGCCCAGACTCTGTGTACAGAGGAAGAGGACAGGAAGGGCTTTTGTGAGGAGATGGTAAGCAAATTAATAGACGGTGCTGATCCGAGGCGGTTAGTGAAACGCTAGTTGCAGTGAGCTCTTAATCCACCTCCGCGACACACAACGGAATGGACTGAGACGGTGGGAATCATCTATGTAAAGGAACCTCAGAAACAATCAGGCGAGTACTAAACAGGGAGAAAATAACAGTGGATTTTCAAAAGGGTTAAACGCTCTATACAGCACTTGTGCGTTTGATGAATCCGCTTCCATTAGATAGGACGACAAATTGTGTTTACAAAATCAATTGCAGACTGTGAACACGTGTATATAGGTCAAACAGCGAGAGAGCTACGCACCAGGATAGCAGAACACAAGAGTCACGTTTCGCGTACATCGAGGAGTGAGCCTGAATACAGGGCCCTAGTAAAAGATTCAGCGGTGGCCTTACACGCGCTAGATACAGAACTCGAGATTGCTTGGGACAATGTCGAGATATTAAGAGGGAATTACCAGCAACAAGACAAAAGTTGTTTTCTGGGGCGATCGAGATTACTAACTCTAATAACTGTGTGAACAGAACGGACGGGGTGGAGTTATCGAATGCGAGGCGGGGTGTGTTAACCCGATCAGTCAGAAAAGATGTCGGCGGACGAACTCAGGTCGGAGCGTGAATCGGCAGCTGCAAGAAAGGTATGCTTCGCATGTGAACGACCGGTGACGTGAATCAATGAGAAAAGCTAGATGCTTGTTGTTTCGCTAGAATGGCCACTTAACATATTAACCTATGATACTATTATCCAATGGTTCATGTTATTTCTTGCAATCTTCACCTTATTTCCCCATAACAAGTTGAGCTAATTCTGTATCCATTCACCTGGCCCGAAGAAGCTCTTACGTCAAGAGCGAAAGGTTGCCATAATGAAATCCTACAAAAGCCGAGTTTTATCAAAACCTTCTAAAATCATGAGATTCCAGTCGGTTCCAAACATATTTCGAGATATTGGATGATCGAAACATTCACGTACGGCCTATTCCAAGACTAACGCCAGGCGTGGTTACATCTCTATGTTGGATATTGTGGGCCGATAAACAACTGCCAAAGGCAGGTGTCTTTGCGTCTCAGTCGTGGAAGGAACCAAAGTGAATATATGATCATCCTTATATAATCCTCCACCGGTTCGCACTGCATGTCGCTACGGTACTATAAAATTACCCCTGCCCTTGCTAGCGCTAGCGTTTCGGAGAAGGGACATACCATGTATCGCGATTTCTGCGTCGGTAATTGCTGAGTGTAACAAGGTTTCAGTTACGCATATGAGGTCTCAAGCGTATGATGTTTGACGCAGATGCAGTTCAGCAAGTTTGTACAGGACACATTGTGCATGGGTGTACATGCCAGAAAGTTACTCTGTTCTTATCAATGAAGTGTGGGATGCTTGTTTTGGGTAAAATATGGTGCCGACCGGTGAAAAGTCCATCCATAACCGTCTTTTGAATGTGACAATCACAGACTCATCTGCTCTGAAGCTTTCGTCCTGCAACAAATCAGTCATTTGACGGTTGACAAATTGGGTCTGTTTAGATCCAATTCTATTGTAGGGTAGCCAAAAGTGTCCTCATAATTTCTTTCAGAGGTAGCCCTTTTTCTGTTGTTGGGAAGGAGGTTAACCATGCTATATAGAATATCATGTCCTACAAACGCTGCGTTCTAGTAGGCAGTTTTAATCTGTATAATCTCGTACTTCCAATAAGTTAGCGCATTAGGTATTCATTACTCCAGTACGTTTAATTTTAGAGAAAAAGTAGCAAATTGCTGCTAAAACACGATAAACCATTGGAATGTTGAGCCGTCTGCTTTTAACTAATGATGTCATACTCCTGGTTTTCAAAGCTTACACATAACCTATTCTAGAATACTGTAAAATCACTTTCAGCATAAAAAGAAAACGTGATAAACTGTAAATCAAAGTAATTCAGAATCCCGTTCCAAAAAGGCTTTTAGGCTGCACACCTACCCTATCTTACAAAGAGAGACGTAAACCACCAAATCTCGAGTCGTTAAGGCTTCAAATGTTAGAACTAAATCTATGCATGCGATACAGAATTGTTCATCGAAAAACACACGAATTTTTACGATAAAGTGTTCCAAGTACCTTCGACATATACTCTGAGAAACAAAGATTTTATAATAAATATGCGCAGCAGCCGCATGAAATTACGAAGCAACTCCTAAATATCCAATGCTGTGGAACGGATTGTCGCAAGTAGTCAGATTATTAACAAGCATTTAGGCACATAAAAAGCAGCTAAACAAATACCTAACGAAAACGTACATATATATATATATATATATATATATAACCTTTCGCCCGCCTTTCAGTTTGTTCAATCCTACATCTACACTTCATAATCGTTCCTCGCTTCAAAAATTTATTATAAACACTGAATAAAGCACTGGAGTCGTTCCTTTGCAAATGGCCACATTGATTTATCGTTGGATCGTACAGTATTCCTTGCGGTTGGAAAAATAGGACTTCATTTTCCATTCTTTCTTTTTATACACATGCCAGAAGGGCATGTACTCAGCTCTTTTTAGCATCTGCATTTGACCTACGTCGCCGCTATGTAATTTACGTTGTATCACACAATACGCATGCAGTCACCAATCGAACTCCTCCAAGCGATTATGTGTCATATTATAACTAACTACATAATGGATTTTATTATCATTCATCTTAATGTACTCTTCTTTATTCATTGGCTATGACTTGGCCTGTTTCCCTAGATGACCCAGTGAATCTTCTAAGTTGGTCAGGGTACCCAAGCAAGGCGAACCGCCTACAAATTCACTAGCGTTAAAATACGCTCCATGCTCAAAAAAGCCAAATGAGTCGAATGGCCGAAGTAGCCAACCTAATTGCATATAAAGTGGTCAGAAAAATAAGTAACGCGGTGGGGATCTGTCTGAATTTAGCACACACTGAAGCGCGGCCAGATTGGCGTGTGAAATGAATGAAAGCGGTGTTGACGTGCATGCATTAAATTCATACCAGCACATTGCCAGATGGGAGTGGAAGTGCCGGTGAAATCCTAAGGCAGACTACACCGCATGGAAGCCAGTCCCCAGGAGATGGTTCTGCAAATATTCGTATTACTTAATTGTGCCTTTGACTGTTTTCTTCCCTCTTCAAAACTTGTTACAATCCTTGCACTTTTCTGCTATACTTGTTCCCTTCGGTGATTGTGATAGTGCAACATGATTAGGAAATCTCTGCTAATGCCGGAAAGGGCATCTCGTAAAACCGAAAATGCACATTATTATATTGTTACTTTGTATTTTATACTTAATGCGTTCTCTGTGTTGGGCTGGAATCCCTCGAACCCTTGAGATCGGCCACAGACTAACGTGCGTGCTAGTCGTGCATTTGTGCCTTGTCGGTTTTTTCGCTGTTTCACAGCCGCATTTTGGCACAAACCACTGGATCTGTACTTATCCCTCGACTTTACAAGCCCTACCTAGTGTGTCATTTCCTCGTGTACACTAGAGTAAATCCTGCATTTAAGCTCAATTGTAATTTCGTTCTGCTCCAAAAGTTGCGTAACTCCAGCCATCAGAAACATTGTTTGGTCTTATTCGCCAGAGTATTACAACGGCTTTCAAACGGACTCTTACTCGTTCAAGTTCCACATTGTTTGGAGCATCTACAGATAAGAATACATTGAATTAACTGCTGGAGTGCCCAGTCATTGATTGAGAGAACACAGTGAAACTGACAGGAATGATCAAATACCACACTTTCGAAAAACATTGATTTATTACTACTAAAAACCAGGTTACTTTCTTAAAGTTGTTTGGCATCCATCGTATTGACCAGTCAGGGATAGCAGCGATTACAGGAGGCCCTATGGTCATAGGGAAATGAATTGATTAAACACGAAATATGAGTTCATGTTTACTTGTGACAAATTGATCATCATTCAACAACTCCTCCGGTTCCCCACTCTGCTGGCTTGAGCGATCGTCAAACAAGTAGCCAGACTCAGTATCCGACCCCTTTGGTCCTCTCGCTTCGTGCTGATCGAGGTAGGTAGGATTTCTGTAAACCATCCTACGATCGGAATTCCGGCGGGGTCCCTCCCTCAGTATACCCACCCCTTGTAATTGTTCTTCATCAGCTTCAGCGAACGCATGATGATGCACCACGCTTTCGGCACTTTGATGCATTCCGCGGTTGTGTGGTATAATTTTAATTGTCATGAAAGTCGGCCGGTGAACCAACACCGAATGAACTGTGGTGGTTGAACATCCCACACTCCAGCTATCCTCCGATCGTACTATGGGTTTTGTTAGCTTGGTGACTGTATGTTGTGGAATCTCAGGTGTTTGCTGGCAGGCCTCGTTGAAGGTATGATGGACCAGTTGCTCAGTTACATCAACCTGACATGCTTTCGAGTTTGTATAAGTGGCAGCAACCTGTTCGGACGAAGTCGGCCTAGTGCATAATGAGATGCAGTTCTCACCTATGAAATCCACTGTGTTATCCACAATCCGTGAGGTAAGTTTCTCCCCTGAATTACTGGAAACGAGCTTACGTTTGCACAACACCCAGTCGTGATCCCGTGAACCCAAGCAATTTGGCGGTGGCGAAAATAAACCTCCGTCCTCCAGGTCATACCGGTCATACTTGTTTTCGTGCACCACCTGAGCATTATGCGGGCATTTCGAAGGGTTTTTTAATTCGGTCCACGAAACTGGACCTTTACCCTGCATGTGCGGTGATTGACACCAAGATGCATGGTTTGTCAAATTTAACGTGGAACTCGACCTCGCTGGTCCTGGAGACGACTGAGTGGAATACGCTGGTGGATGCGGGGAATGCATATCTGTGTGTTCAAAAGCAACCCTTCTTGAACTATAACGATCGCACGACATGGGTCGGCAGCGCACTTGATTTGGCAGTCCAACCGAGTTCCGATCGGAAGTGGATGGACCTACCTCAACAAAGCTGGGATCAAAGGATACGGTTTTCCCAGGTCTCGGAGAGGATGACGATGCCCGCCAATTGCGCTCCCTCAGGAGTCCGTGTTTATCTGTTATCGCTCTGTGAAGAAGGGCCCGAATTTCTGCCAACAGCGCTTGATCATAACACTTGTAACTTTCAAGGGTGTGTTTTCCAGAGTCACGATCGATCACATGCAGCATAAACACATCTGGTCTTTTATCACATTCGTACATTGTCCGTATATCTCGGTAGAACAGCTGGGATCGATAATGAGGACGATCAAAATAAACTCGATCAGTGAGAAAGGTAGCATTTGTAGGCGCTGCGGCCAGTCGAAAATGTTCTGCCAGTAAACGCCCGGCAACCTTGTTGGACAAAGATGTTAAATGATCTAGCACGCTGCATCCAATTTGGAAGACAGGAAACTTGTTTCGCATTGTGGAAAAACGAATTATTTGGATAGTAGTCTTGATGCAACCAACTACACCGCTGCTCGTTCACCCTGTGTGGATTCAATCTGGCGCCAGAGACAAACTTGAACAATATGAACCGGAGCGGATTGGTTTAGAGTGAAGTAATCATCTGAATGCGCAAGTGGTGTGAGAGAAACAGGACACCACTTACTGAGTGCTTGAAATATCACGGGATCTACTTCATGGAGAAAACTGTGGATCGGCTTAAAACCAAAAATTCCAGTTGTCGACAACCAAACCTTTAGCGAAATTGTCAATTAACTACACCACCAGTGGCCCAATTTTCCCCAAGCGAGCATCAGAGGGTTGTGTCTACAAAACAGAACCAATAAAGTAATCGGTTTTGCGAGTCAAAACGTCAAGGAGCTCATTGAGGTGGATGAGATGAGTGAGTGCCTCACTACTAAATTAAGCTGCAGCTCTGATCTTTCTACATTCTGAGCAATTTAGAGCAACACAAACAGCCGTTTTCAAGCTCAAATTTGGTGACAATTTCAATTGTTCCTGCACGTATGCAGTGATACTAATAGTCGCGTTTCGAGCCCGAAAACCTGGAAGAAATACCTTGCCTACTGTGACAGGCGTAGCAACTTCTACGCGAGGACTAAGTAGTATACTAACTGGCCTTAGTAGAACGGTTCATTTCTGCTCATAAACTGTGACACAGGTATGTGAAATTACTTCAAAAGGTGTAAAATGAACAGCCTCTTCTGACAGCTGAGTGGCCAACACCGACCACCAGAAAAGCATCGAGTGCTCTATAAAGCACAACGTATCAACTTTTCAATGTTTTCTCTGGAATCTTAATGCATTTGGATGTATTTTGCCGCCACTAAAGTTTACTCATATGTACTTTACGCTAGACATTATGAAGAAATGTCTGTTTATCGATGCGCCAACACAACTCTCAAGAAAATGAGGATATGTTCCAGAAGGCGTTTACCGTAACAGTTAAGGATTTGGCGGAAAATTTGATGCCATACTTCCATCACTGCCTTGACTAGATGCATGTTTCTACCTCAAAGAAACATGGGCTAGTTAACCCGATGTACAAAGAAAATGACCGTTCCGACCCAGCAAACTACCATACATTGAAGCTTCCTCCAGTTCTTGCAAAAAGTTATGGAGGCTATCACTACTGACGCGCTTATGTAAAACCTAGACAAATTTGCTTACCTCGCGCAACGGCAATGAACAATGAATTTATACCGGTTAAGAAGCGTTGCTGTACAAGTCCCATTGGATAGTTGGTGGGGATATCAACATAATAATATTGATGATAAGGATAATAAAATAGATATACTTTAAATATGAAAATAAGGACTTATCGTTTGCTTCGCTGTAGTCCTGCGATCCACTTAGATTCACAGCACCCACAGTTAACAATAAATAATTCCATGGTAAACTCCAGGTTTAGGATGGAGACGTAGTGTTAAGTAACAAAGTGTAAGTGGATGAGTGTATCGTCCAACCGTCTTTTAAATACTGTTAGTGTCGATGTAGTAACCACCGATTCTGGGAGAGCATTCCACGGGTGACAGACACGAATGGAAAAGAAAGTTTAGCGGCACTCCAGACGACTGTATTGTTCTGCGAGTTTTAATGTGTGACCACTCAGGTTTGTATTGCTGCTGAGTTGCAGTAAACCGCGGCACACATGATGTGGGTCTCGCAGAATCAAGTATGCCATAAGCATGTCGCCTAGTAGTCTGCGATAGCTTCCACTGAACAATCTCAATCGTTGCAGGCTCTCCTGGTATGAAAGATTACGCATTGCAATTGCGTTCTTGGATGCCCGGCGTTGTGGCTGCTCCAATGTTTTCAGGTCGGGTTTCAGCCATGGATGCCAGGCTTGAATTGCGTATTCGACATGCGGACGAATATACGCACTGAGCATCTGCCGAAATATGGAGCTGTTTATTTGTCCAAACGCCCGCCTCAACAGCCCGACGTGTTGGTTCCCGGTCTTCGAGGCCTTTACGAGTTGCCTGGAGCAACCCAAGTCATCTTGAACCAGGACACCCAAGTCACTTTCGAGAGTTGACTGTTGTAGTATATTCGTTCAGAGTCAGTATGAGTAGCTGCCGTGATGTCGGATGGCAAGCACCTTACACTTACTGCCGTTGAAATGCAATAAGTTTTGGATCGACCATTGCTACACCGTATCTAAATCACTCTGAAGCACATGTTGGTCGGCGTTCTCCTGGATCCTGCGCCAGATCTTGATATCGTCGGCAACCATTAGAAAGTTTGGAGCGGTTCCCTGTGCGAGATCATTAATAAACACCAAAAACAAACGTGGACCTAAAACTGAGCCTTGCGGCACACCACACTCAACTTGCATGGGGTTCGATAAAGAGTCCCGAACTCTGACCACTAAGTGCCGTTGAAGTAGAAAGTTGGCGATCCAGCTTAAAAGAGGGTCTCCGATCCCGTAATGCTGCAGCTTGGATAGTAGTATCTGATGGTCTAGACGATCGAAAGCCTTGGAAAAATCCAGGTAGATCACATCAACACCTCCTCTAGCGTCAGCTGCCTCAGTCCAACTACTGCGTGCAATTAGTAAATTCGTTGTACATGACCACTGTCGACGGAAACCGTGCTGCTCTGACGTGATGATGTTGAAGTTTTCCAGATAGCACACTAGTGCATCGGCAACTATGGATTCCATTACCTTGGAGAGTATAGGAAGAAGGGATACTGGGCGGCTGTTGGAGGGATTAGTTCTGCTTCCACCTTTGTGAATCGGGCTTATTATTCCAAGCTTCCACATGACGGGAACTTGGTTCTGGTCTAAGCAGCGCTGGAAAAACTGAGCTAAGGTCCTGTCAGTTGGCTTGCTGCTGCTCCCAATGCCTCTGGACGAATGGTGTCGACACCTGGCGAGCTGGGTTTGTGTAGGGACCTCAGCTTTTGCAATACAGCCTCTGCGGTTAAATTGACGTGGGTTAGTCCTGGTGAGCAGAAGGCAAAGCTTGGTAGATCGCTTAGTGGAAAGACTCCTTGAAACGTGGGGGCGTATTGCATCTGCAGCGCGTTTGCAGGTTCCATAGACGTTCTTGTTGGGTCATCAGCCGTCCTGAGTGGAGGAAATCTTTGCCTCACATTTCACAGGCTATTAACGTGCTTATACAGCAACCGATCCTGCACTGAACAGTTGGACTGAAACATTGGTTATTGCTTTAGGAGGTGATATTGTCTACGGCTTCTCTAAGACATTCAGCCGGTTGAGCCATTGTATCCTTATAGCCAAGCTTCAGGTATACGGTATTGATAATCATATCCTTGGATGGATCAGCAGGTTCCGCTTTCACAGGCGTCTAGCAACAAAAGTTCGCGATTATGTATCCAACCATATCCACGTGTAACGCTGTGGGCAATATTGTCCGGTATTGGAACTTCGTCTGCCCCTAATTTTCTTTACAATGGAAAAATGGTCTTATACGGGTACAAATACTGATGCTTAACAGGTCCCATAGGATGGTTATGGTGAAAATTCAAAAGACAAGAAAAATATTGTAAGCAAAACTGGGTTTACCCAGGTGAACTCACTGTGGTATACGTAGTGTAAGCTGTAAATCCAAGGTACATCCATAAGGAATGACGGCAAATGGGATGTAGGTAAAAATTATGTCTCTATACACATGCATAATAATAATAGTAGGTAAATTTTTCTTTAAGTGAGCAGTTGCATCCATATTGCGCACAGATCATGTATGTATAAGTAATGCCATGCTTTTGCATGAGCAACGCAGATTAATGGCGAATAAAACAACTGTATATTCCTCGTCGGTGAGAGGTAGAGAACAACTGGACATTACGATTCTTGGTCTACGGCAGAATGGCAAGGAGCGGATGTTATATTTTTGAATTTTCCAAAGTATTCCTCAAGCCTTTGGCGGACATAGCTGCCTGATCGTTTAAACCTTTCGAGAAGATTGTGTGGTTTTTAAACTAATAGGTGTAGATAAATTTAAATGTGTAAGTGAAGTAATATAGCGATACATGGAACCGCGTTCTTACGACTCGTTTCTATGTGAGCTATTCTATCGATGGATTGCACCCGTACTTCCATGCCCCGTCTGACGTGAGCCGGTGTGACTTTTAAAGCAGGTAAGCCATCACTTATGCAACTCATCATTAGGCCGGTTTTTCTGTGTATGTGGTGTGGACAGTCGAGCCATCTATCCCGTACCATCAATCAGGTTTTGTATCAATCGCTTTTTCTCGCCATAAAACCAATGACAAATCGCTTTGCATGGGTATAACTATTAGCGTTATAAGCTTAAATCCGTCCCCTCAGGAGATCAAACCCGTCTTGGTCAGCATTGAAGTAAAGAAGAATATAAAATATGTGCAGTTAAAAGGGTGACGACAGTAATTATGTCTAATGAAGAAATAAAATCATTTGCTTGTAGGCAAGCAAGCCTGATCGTTCAACTTTTACAGGATACATGGCGAAAACGGATGACGGCTGGGAGTACCGGTATGCAAGAGAATTCTGAAAAGAATTTCCAGGTTCATTCTCATTCGCGTGGGTTCAAAACAAACATGAATTGATAACGCTGCGCGGTGAAACCTGCTCCCTGTTCCCGGGTTGTCGTCTCCGAGACAGAAAAAGTAATATTTAACATTGCATTAGGAGTGTAATAAAAAGAGTCATGTGTAGACAAAAATAAAACTGCTTTATGTCTGGATAGTGCGAGACACGGACCGTATGGTTATTCCGATCAAATCTGCTATTGGATCGCCAACAAGTGTTTGCGTTCAAGTAGTTCATAAGGAAAGTGTTTACGAGTCTGATTTTCAGCAGTTCAACCAGATGGTGAAGCCAAGGTGTGTAGGATGGGATATGGACGGGTTTCGGTATTGGCTGTAATTTATTCGTTTATAACCCCGGACAAAGATTTACTTAGACCTGGTAAAAAAGGTATATTTATGAACAGAAATGTGTCGTAGAGTTT